TCATCACCTCCTTTTCTTCCAGTTGTCTGGAGATGACATCCAGTACAAGCTGTTCCATCACCTTTCCAGGGACAGAGGTGAGGCTGACTGGCCTATAATTGCCTGGCTCTTACCCTTTACCTGGCTCTACCCTTCTTACCCTTTTTGAAGACTGCAGTGACATTGGCTCTCCTCCAGTCTTCAGGCACCTCCCCTGTCCTCTAACACCTCCCAAAGATGACCGAAAGCGGCTCAGCAATCACCTCTGCCAGCTCCCTCAGCTCCCGTGGATGGTGAACATTGGTGTTGCCTAGGCGCTCCCAGATCACCTCTTCCCTGACTGCAGGGAGGTCTTCCATTCCCCAGAGCCTCTCACTCACCTCCACGGTCTCGGATTCCTGAGGGGGAGCTTTTGCACTGAAGACAGAAGCAAAGAAGGCATTCAGTATCTCCGCCTTCTCAGCATCCCCCGTTACCAGAATACCCCTGTCACTTAGCAGGGGAGCCACATTCTCCTTAGTCTTCCTTTTACTGTTAACGTACTTAAAAAAGCCTTTTTTATGATCCTTTATCCCCTTTGCCAGATTTAATTCCAGGCGGGCTTTAGCCTTCCTTGTCGCATCCCTGCAGACCCTGACAACATTCCTGTATTCCTCCCAGGTGCTCAGACCCTTTTTCCACATTTCATGGCCTTCTTCTTTCCTTTGAGTTTGCGCACAAGCTCCTTGCTCATCCACACAGGTCTCTTGCCACCCTTTCCCGATTTCTTCCTCACAGGGACGCACCGATTCTGAGCTTGGAAGAACTGCTTAAATGACAACCAGCTCTCACAGGCCCCCGTACCTTCCAACACCCTAGCCCATGAGACAGCTCCAAGTAGGTCCAGGAAGAGATCAAAGTTGGCTCTCCTGAAGTCCAGGGTAGCAATCCTACTTTTTGCTTTGCTTCTTCCACTCAGGATCTTGAACTCCACCATCTCATGGTCACTACAACCCAAGCTGCCCCCGACCTTTACTTCCCTGACAAGCCCTTATCTATTAGTGACAATAAGGTCCAGCAGTACCCCTCTCCTCGTCGATTCCTCAACCACCTGCATCAGGAAGTTGTCTTCAACACACTGCAGGAACCGTCTGGATCCTGGCCACATTGCTTTTCCAGCAAATATCTGTATGATTGAAGTCCCCCATAAGCACCAGCACCTGGGATCGTGACGCTGCTTCCAACTGTTTGTGGAAGGCCTCATCAACCTCCTCCTCCTGACTGGGGGCCTGTAGCACACTCCCACAGCAGTGTCAGCCATACCAGCCCGCCCCTTGATGCTCAGCCACAAGCTCTCCACTGCTACACCGCTCTCCCCCAGGTGGAGTTCAATACATTCCAGCTGCTCTCTCACATAAAGAGCAACTCCACCACCCCGCCTCGCCGGCCGATCTTTCCTAAGAAGCACACAGCCCTCCATGACAACATTCCAGTCATGCCAGCTGTCCCACCACGTCTCTGTGATCGCAATGAGATCATAGCCGTGTGACCACACGCAGATCTCCAGCTCTTGCTGTTTTTTTCCCATACTGCGTGCATTACTGTATGGACACTTCAGGGAGGCAGCATTCCCCTGCCACACTCCATCCCTTCCAACTCCACCCTCATCACCCATCAAGTTCACTTTTGAACCTCAAACTACTTGAACCTCAGCAGCCCTCATTTTGTCCCCTTCCCCCTTCTTTCCTAGTTTAAAGACCTTTCAATGAGGCCCGCCAGCTCCTGGGCTAGGATCCTTTTACCCCTTGCAGACAGGTGAGCTCCACCTGCAGCCTTCATGCCAGGAGCTGAGTAAATTGCCCCATGGTAAAAAAAAACCAAAGTTCTTGTGCCTGCACCATCCTCTAAGCCATTTATTGATGAGGAGGGTTTTTTGGATCCTCTCAGTGTCCTTCCCCACCACTGAAGGGATAGAAGAGAAGATCACTTGCATTCCCGCACCATCCAGTACCCTCCCCAAACCCTTGAAGTCATTCCTGATAGCCCTTAGGCTTCTCTTGGCAGCATCATCACTGCCAACTGAACTACCAGTAAGGGGTAGCAGTCAGATGGGCGAATAAGCCCAGGCAGCTTTCGAGAGATGTCCCTGACCCGTGTCCCAGGGAGGCAGCACACTTCCCTCCGGGTGGGGGCAGGTCGACGTCTCGGGCCCTCAGTTCCTTGTAGAAGGGAATCTCCTACAACTATCACCCTCCTTTCTTTACCAGAAGAGGCGGTCTTCAAGCGTGGAGCCGACCGCCTCTCCTTAGGAAATCTTGATGGCTGTTCCACCACCTCATTCTCAGCCTCCTCGCCCTCCAGTTCCAGGGTTTCAAAATTACTTAGAGGCACCTGGGGAACCAAGGTAGGTCAGGAAGGGGGCTGCCTGCTGAGGTGGGACCTGCTGCCATTTCTCCTCTCCTCTCAAGTCAGCTCTCTCGGTTTGACCACAGCAAGGGAGAGAGTCCACTACAGGCTGGGGGCTGCAATCTCTGCTTGCTTCTCACAGAGTTACACCACCCATCTGTCTCCCTCTCACAGTCTCTAATGGATCTTAACCTCTTCACCTGCTCCCTAAGCTCCACCACAAGGCTGAGCAGCTCGTCCACCTGCTCACACCTCACGCAGGCGGCATCCCTCCCATCGTCCCCCGGCAGCAGCATCCATCCCATAGATGGATCTCCA